GTATCCAATCCGGGCTTACAGGTATGCTAGGGTGCCCCTGAAAAAAATTTCCCAGATGTGCGAGACATTTTTTAGGAAGCATTACGGTAAACCATTTTTTAACCATTCTCGGTTAAATATGGTTAACTCTGTCAATTTTCCAGGGATTTAAAAGAGTGGAAATCCTTTAACTTGGTTAAAACGATATTTGACAATTTTTTTTCGATTTTTTGTTTTTTGATGGTCAAATATTAAGAAAAAGGTGAAAATCGCTTCTTTTTTACACCTTTTGTCAGCTACATCTGGGAGTGGTTTAAGTAAATTTATTTTCAAACTAAACACTATGCTATTTAAAAATAGTTTGACAGTTCAGAAATGGTCTCAAAAGTGTTTTATTGACAAGTTTAGAGGGAAATGTGTAAGGTATTGGCCAAAAAATCCATTTAAAAAAACCGTTTTCGGTGCAATGTTCTCCTTAACTCCTCTTGCATCCGCAAAATTTTTAGCTTCACAGTAGGAAGAGAAAATGGCAGCTTGAAAAGTAACATTTAAAAGCTACAATTATTGGTTATAGAAAAGGGGCGCGAAATTAAAGTCTAGTTTTCTATATTTATCTAAGAACTAAAAATACTTAATTCTGCTCCTGTAGCCTCAATTCTGTTTAAAATTGCTAAGACCAGGAAACAAGTTCTATTATAGAATCATTGAACTTCTCATGCATATTACAAAATTCAACAGTTTTTATAATAATCAGGAGAATCTTTGCAGTAATATTTAGCAGCTTCAGTTCCTACAGTAAAGTCTTAGAATTGTATATGTCAGTAAATACGTTTTAGTTTTATTAGTTCCTCATTTTTTTGTTTTAAACTTTAAACTTTTACTCTTACTAAGTCTTTGAGTGCTCAGGTCACAGTTAAACCATTGATCTATCTAGCATTAAAAAAGAAAGCAAAGTTAATATAAAATAATTTAAAAACAGGGATATTGAATCATAAATGATAAAAACACAACTTCAAGAAAATAATTTTAGTTTTTGTTGCAGGATGTTGAGTCCGTCATGAACTCCATTGGAACACATACACCATACGCTCTTACTGGAGCTATGTATTGCAATGACCAGTAAGTAAAAATTGAAAAAATAATATTTACTAGTGTTCAGCTAATTAAAAAAAAGCAATACTTACTAGTTGTACAGCTAATTAAAAAAGCAATACTTACTAGTGTACAGCTAATTAAAAAAGCAATACTTACTATTGTACAGATTATTAAAAAAGCAATACTTACTATTGTACAGCTAATTAAAAGAGCAATACTTACTAGTGTACAGCTAATTAAAAGAGCAATACTTACTAGTGTACAGCTAATTAAAAAAGATATATTTTGGTAAATGAAGAAAACTAAAAAATAATATTTCCTTTTCAGAGAGTTCGCTAACCGAGCAGCGGAAACTCTGAAGCAAACGGCCGGAAACTTTTACGTCAACGATAAATCAACAGGATCAGTCGTCGGCCAACAACCATTCGGCGGTGCCAGACTTTCAGGTTAGTTTAATTCAACAGTAACTTTGTTTGACTGGAAAAAATTATATCAGCCTTGGATTTCTGCTTTGTTCAGCTGCTTCTGTCATAATTTTACAAAAGCAAACTTTAGATTCAATTTTTAATTGTAAGAGACGAAAATAATTTAAATGTTTATATAAAAACGTGTCAAACGATAAAGTTTAATAAGAGTATTGAATTAAAAAATCCAAATTGAAACAAATCGATATACATACAAAAATGTCATAAAATTTAAAAAAGGCTATAGAGATAAATTTAATCTTGAATCTTAAATGATCTTATAGGGTTACAACAACTAATGTTGTGCATACTGCTAGTTCTGAATCAATATTAAATTGTATTTTAAAGTTTCCTTTTGTGAAATTATGCGAAATGTTTACTCTGGTAGAAGATATTTAAGCCAATCGTTCGAAAACATTCAAAATTTCGTTTATGATGTACGTGTATCTTCTGTAAACATGAATATTTTTTATATAAAATGTTTTTTACCAATTTTCCGAAAAATATGTTATTCTAAAACTAGTTTATAATTCAGGAACCAATGACAAGGCCGGTGGACCTCATTATATGCTTCGCTGGGCCAGCGCTCAGGCCGTCAAACAAACCTTTGTTCCCTTGCACGATGTCGGATATCCCTACATGAAGAAGTAAACTGCAGTACAAAACCGGTTTTTGTTCCCTTGTACAGAACACGGAACATGAAACCTATTCCACATGAAGCTTGAAAAAGATCTTGAATATTTTTATACGTTATTTGTTTATGCAGAAACAGATCAAGAGTTTTTAATTTCTATTCCAAATTAAATCTACATATTTAAATTTAGATTCACACCATTTTAGAAGCTTTGGCACTTCGGCAACAAAATGACCAGATCTAAACATAAACCTCATTGATAATGACGACCTTCAACCTTCGTGTTGTAAGATCGCAAAATGTTGGCTTTCAATACTTTAAATTCGGTTCCACTGTTAAAGTGCACCACACATGTATTAAGTATTTGTCTGTTATTAGTTAAACGAATAAGATATTGACTTGTACCAAGTCATAATAAACCTTTTACCTAAACCATTTAGTACATTATTCAGTGAAAAAAGCGTCACAAAAAAAAATATTTTGAAATGACTTAAAAGTCGTCTTTCATTTCTTACACCAACATATTTAAAAATCCTCAAACCTTTTTTAGACACTTATGCAATAAAATAAATACTGCTAATGCAAATGTAAAGATGGCAGTATCTGATTTACAACGGTACTCTTGAAACCTTATATCTGATCAATAATGTGAAAGATATTGCCCTTTATGTAGGTTTAAAATGTTTAATTCTGATCTTTCCTAAAATGCACAAGTCACTTTTGTAGAGAAACCAAAGTTAAAAATTATCAGTTTTCAAAATTATAAACACATTCATACATAATTTATACTTCATCAAAAAGGCTTTTTAAATATTAGACAGCTTTGACTTGGGTATTGCCATTTTTTTAATTTTGCGCGAAATAAAGTTTGCTTGTATGACCTTCAACCAAAGATTTGGGGGCGCCGCAAGCACGCTTGTTTGGTCTCAAATTCGTGTAAAAAATACCCATTTTAAGAGTTTTCACGGAAATTACAAGTTTTCCGTCAAAGATGAGAATTTAAAGACGACCGAATACTCCTTAAAGATGGCGGTATTAGGAGTATTGCCCTGATTACATAATTTTGATGGTAAACTTAATAATTTGGTAAATAAAGACATATGTTTATGGTTGCATGAATAAATGTAATTTGAAAGCATTTTACACTAATAAGTTCCGTCCAGTTGTATATGAAGTCTCATATCTTGTACAGTGAGACCCATGTAACTATGGAATAGGAAGACGACTGATAGATTGAAGTTTTAATTTCCAATAGTCCGATGAACATAAACCACAGAAACTGTATACTTTTAGTTTTAAAACAGCATCCAATAACACATATGGTTCCTAAACATGTTGTCTTCTTATTCTAGAGTTTTCTGGGTCATACTGTAGGGTTATACCGCGGCTCAGCCAGGGGCGGATACATGGGGGGGGGGACATTCGCCCACCCTGACAGATTTGAAATTTTTTGTTCCTATTTTCAGAATAGCTTCTCAATAGCATGCTTAGGAGAAAGAAACCCTAGTGCAAAACAGGAAAAATATCTGTCTTAATAAACTATAATGTGTGAAAAGTTTAAAAATCTAGTTTTTTAGTCTTTAGTCATTAATTTTGACTCTTTTTGAGTCTTTTAAGTCAAAAAAAAATTTCGCATGCGGCGCGATTTTTGGTTCCTAATTGTGAATTTTTTTGTTCGTAAAAAATCTTGCCCCCCCCCCCTCACTTAAATCCTGTATCCGCCCCTGGGCTCAGCTAAGACTATACTGAACCTGTATTTCTGAATTATCGCATATAATTTCAACAAACTCAACATCCAAGGAAAAAGAATTTTCATCCTCTTTTTGATTTCGTAAAACTCATGTTTTGAAATTCTGTCAAGGATATAAGAAGATAGTTTCCCACTTCTAAAATGCGCAAAATATAGTTTTCAGTAAACAATGAAATCCGTCCTAATACGTTGGTTATCAAATTATATATTGTACCGTACTGGATTCTGATATACTCAGTTGAAGAACTCTTGTCTCTCGAGAGTTAATTTTAACATCTTTTTGACAGAAATAAACCTCAAGAACTGAAGAGGGTCACTGACATACTCAGTAAAATAACTGAGAATTTTTTTTTTTCACTTATATATAAATGTTAGCTATATTTTTTTCCGAAAGTGTTACTCTTAAAATAAGCTTTAAATAGAGGTAAAGGAGAATGCATACTAGAAGTTTAAACCCTTTAGTCAAAATAAAGTATTTTTGCCTGAGCTTGAACCAGCAAAGAAGAGAGATAACCAAGCAGAGAACGGGTTGGGATTAACTTGTTTTCTTCTCCGAGATCTGAGTTTATCGATAGCGTTTAGTTCTCCGGGTTGCTGAGATACTGATGGTTTCAAGAATCTCTTATACTGAGGAGCAAACCTTCTCTTAGTTGGAAGAATATATATTTTACTATTTCCTTCCAACTTAGAGTCTGTTGAATCTTCAAAGCTCAGTTCTTCAAATACACTTTCACGTTTAGGACGCGGAACTTTCCTTAGCTTAGGTCCGAATTTAGCAGGTTTAACACGATTCCGACTTTGACGCTTAGAACAGGAGTCCACTGACAGCAGAAGAGTTGATGAGATAATGAGAAAGCTGTAAATCTTCTGAAATAAAGGAAACATATGTTATATGTATAAATATCATTTTTTTCTTTCTCATTTTATTTAACATAAGTAAACTAACTAAATGAAAAGCAAGCTAAGAACTGTTTGCATAAAAGCTAAGATTATGTGTGGGGAAGCAAAAGGATTCCTTTAATTATTTACCAATTCGTAACCTGCATAAAGATGGACATGCCTGAAACACAACGGTAGCCTTTAAACCTTTATCTGATCAATAATATGGGAGATATTGCCGATTTTCTCGCTTAAAAAGTGTGTTCATTTATAATTTCTTCCATTTAATCTGATTTTGCAGCAGAAATCTAGGAGTAAAGGAATTGAGTCAATTTGTGGCAAAGACTCAGATCCGTTACAGAGAAACCCCAACTGTTGATTTTTAGGGAGAAGATTATAGTAATCTTATGCATCCTTGTCTAGAAGATTTTAAATTCCAATTTTTATTTAAGATATAAAACTTTTACGATTATAGTGGTATTGGCATTTAGCTTTGCGAGGGATTGATATAAATTCGAGGGGGCATTGCCCCAGGCCAGAGAAATAAGCCCCTCCCTTTCCCTATATCTTCCTTGCCACCCCCTTGCCATTTTCCTAATTTATCATCTTAAATTATGTTTTATGTTTTCGAGAAAAATTAAATGGGGTGTATATCTTACGGCGAAAAATAAGCGCTTTTCATCGCTATTAATTTTACTTTTATTTGCTGCGTCTATAAAAAAAAATTGTTAAAAACGACTTATCCTTCTGAATTTATGGACGCTACGTCCATAAATTCAGAAAGTTGCAATATTCAACTTGGATCGTAAAAAAATCAATTTAATTCCAAACAAATGATTAAAATATTACAACCAAAAATCATCGATAATTTTTCGTCGCATTCGTATATTGTTAATATCTCTTATTTTTTTATTTTTCATGATCTGACAGTTACGTTTGAAAACATTTATTCCTGGTTCGAGGATTTTTGATAATGAAGACGACATTTTCATATTATCCAGGAATGTTCGAAAATCCAGCGCCAGTGAAATATTATTTAAAAACAGATAACAGATAGAAGTAAGATTAGTAGCGCTTATTTTTCGTCGTAAGCCAATACGCCCTTTCGTTTTTCTTGCACAGTCCCTTTAAAGTGTACACCCATTTATTAACAATTCTCATTCGCTTAAATTGGGTTAATCAATTAAAACAACCAACTCTCTGGTTAAGCGGATCCAAACTAAATATTAAATTGTGATTGCTTTGTAGCTATTAAAAATATGAAATGTAGGTTTTTAAATTCTGGATAGTTCTCTCAAGCTCATACAACATTTCTGGGAAACTTAGCTACTTTACACATAACTTTAAGTGACTGAGGTCAATGGAGGAGTTGCAGTTCTTTTCATGACAGTAACCTTTAAACCATTCTCTGATATTAATAGAAGAGTGTCAGTTATATTCATGACAGTAACCTTTAAACCATTCTCTGATATTAATAGAGGAGTGTCAGTTCTTTTCATGACAGTAACCTTTAAACCATTCTCTGATATTAATAGAAGAGTGTCAGTTCTATTCATCACAGTAACCTTTAAACCATTCTCTGATATTAATAGAGGAGTGTCAGTTCTATTCATGACAGTAACCTTTAAACCATTCTCTGATATTAATAGAAGAGTGTCAGTTCTTTTCATGACAGTAACCTTTAAACCATTCTCTGATATTAATAGAGGAGTGTCAGTTATATTCATGACAGTAACCTTTAAACCATTCTCTGATATAAATGGTAAACTTATCGTACGTTTTCCTTATCAAATTGTAATATTCTGACAATCATATTCATATTTTTTCTGATGCAAAAACAAGGCATTGAAAGGGTACGGCTGTGAATCGGGCATGCTAGGGCAAAGTATACGTAATTCCTAATCTTTCCAAATAAGATAGAGTTTATTGTGTTGATTGAAAACTAAACTAGTTCAGGATTTGGACGTGATTCTGCAAATTCAAAGGGTTGGATGCAAAATGAAAAAGATTATATATTTATATTTTTAATTAATTAATCCAATTTATAGTTCAGATTGTTTGCTTAGCTCACGTACAAACTAACTACAAAAAAGTACATTCTAAGCTTTATGTGCGCTCTATAGTGTTAAGCTTTACATTTAGTAAATATAAATATTTTATACACACACTACAAATCCAACAAAAAGCATAAAATATCAAAAAAGGAAAGTCTAAATTTGAAGGATAAAATTAGGTCGCTGGACATTTAACCAGGATCTCTAGTTACAGTGATCTTCAGAAAAAAAGAGAGCAAATGAAAGGGGGCGCCACCCCCCCCCTCCCCAACCCAATCCCTCATTGGCCTAGACGTAAATGTTTACCAACAAGTTCAGTAGCCTCATCTCCAACGCGCAGTTTCAAGACAAATGCCAGAAGATTGTGCGCACAGTTCCTTATCTGTGCAGTACGTAGCGCGGTGAGGGGAATCCCGGGGGCGCGGCTATGAGTATTATTGAGAATACCTTGCGCAAGAACAGATAAGCCAGGCAGGAGAGAAAAATGAAGCATGGTTCAAGCCTGAGGCAGGTCAAGCTACAAACATGCAGGGGCTAACCTTATACTGCGCAGTAAATTGTATCTCCTGAATAGAGAGTTTGGTTTAGTTCTAAGATATTACAAGAACTATAGATGGGACAACATACTATTATATTTATAAATACACTGCAGTATGTCTAATCTTGAAACAGAGGGATGGTAAATACAGTTTTGACGAATTGTTAGATAAGTTAAACGGCATGTTCACATATTTGAAAGCACGCGTAATACCCTAATTTTTTAATTTAGGATCGCAAATAATCAGTAATTACCTGCACTATCATTAAGCACGCGCGCCTTCTTCAAGAAATTAAATATATCTTAATTGGATCCCATTATTTTACATGGTTATATTTTTGGTTTATAAACTGGTTATATTTTGATTAAAAAGTGGTTATACTTTTGGTTTATAAAATGGTTATATTTTGGTTAAAAAGTTGTTATATTTTTGGTTTATAAAAGGGTTATATTTTGGTTAAAAAATAAATATATTTTTGGTTTATAAAATGGTTATATTTTGGTTGAAACGTGGTTATATTTTTGGTTTATAAAATGGTTATATTTTGGTTAAAAAGTGGTTAGATTTTTGCTTTATAAAATGGTTAGATTTTGGTTAAAAAGTGGTTGTATTTTTGGTTTATAAAATGGTTATATTTTGGTTGAAAAGTGGTTATATTTTTGGTTTATGAAATGGTCATATTTTGGTTAAAAAGTGGTTATATTTTTGATTTATAAAATGGTTATATTTTGGTTTAAAAAAGTTGTATTCTTGGTTTAAAAAATGGTTATATTTTGGTTAAAAAGTGGTTATATTTTAGTTAAATAGTGGTTATATTTTGGTTTAAAAGTGGTTATATTTTGGTTTAAAAGTGGTTATATTTTTGGTTTATAAAATGGTTATATTTTGGTTGAAAAGTGGTTATATTTTTGGTTTATAAAATGGTCATATTTTGGTTAAAAAGTAGTTATATTTTTGATTTATAAAATGGTTATATTTTGGTTAAAAAGTGGTTATATTTTTGGTTTATAAAATGGTTATATTTTGGTTTAAAAAAGTTGTATTCTTGGTTTAAAAAATGGTTATATTTTGGTTAAAAAGTGGTTATATTTTGGTTAAATAGTGGTTATATTTTGGTTAAAAAAAGGTTATATTTTGGTTAAAAAGTGGTTATATTTTGGTTAAATAGTGGTTATATTTTGGTTTAAAAGTGGTTATAATTTGGTTAAAAAGTGGTTATATTTTTGGTTTATATAATGGTTAAATTTTGGTTAGAAAAGATACATTTTTGGTTTAAAAAATGGTTATATTTTCGTTAAAAAAAAGTTATATTTTTGGTTAATAAAATGGTTATATTTTGGTTATAAAAAGTTATATTTTTGGTTCATGAAATGGTCATAATTTGGTTAAAAAGGATATATTTTTGGTTTAGAAAATGGAGATAATTTTGGTTCAATAAATAGTTACATTTTTGGTTAAAAATGATTAAATTTTTGTTTAAAATGGTTTTATTTCTGGTTCAAAAATGGCTGATTTGTGGCTAAGCCAAAACATTATTCGGTTTTGGTTTAAAGAAGGTTTCATTTTTGAATACAAAGTTTTGATTTTTGGATGAAAAAATGGTTAAAATTCTAGTTAAAAAGGTTATACTATTAGTAAAAGATGGGTAAATTTTTTTTACAGTAAAAAAATGGTTCTATAAAATGGTATGGTTTGGGTATGAAAATAATTATATCTTTGGGTAAGAAAATGGTTATATCTTTGGGTAAGAACATGGTTATCTTTGTTTAAGAAAATGCTTATATTTTTGTTTAAGAAAATGGTTATATCTTTGTTTAAGAAAATGGTTCTATCTTTGTTTAAGAAAATGGTTATATCTTTGTTTGAAAAATGGTTATATCTTTGTTTAAGAAAAAGGATATATCTTCGGGTAAGAAAATGGTTATATCTTTGGGTAAGAAAATGGTTTTATCCTTGTTTAAGAAAATGGTTATATCTTTGGATAAGAAAATGTTTATATTTTTGGCCTAGAATATGATGATAAAATTCTTGAAAATAGTCAATGGCATCTGAGTCGGTAAAATCGTCTTCCTTATATTTTGAATTTGTGTTAACAACTCCCTTTAAGGAGAATAATAATATTTATGAAATGCATGGGCCGATGCAAAGTTGCCTATTTTTATAGTTATGCAATGTATATTATCATGATTAAATGGCAAGATTTGGTAAAGATAATGGTTATATTTTTGGTTCAGAAAATGGTTAAATAAATGGTTAAATTTTTTGTCAAAAACGGTTCAATACAAAAACCCTGGTTGCGCAATTAGGGTCACAACTAGGAAAGGGGTCATCTGCTCCTTTATATCGGGGTTTAAGAATGAAATAAAAAATTCTAATGAGGCTAAGAAAAGTAAGTAGCAATGAATTGAATAATGACACGATTATGCACACAAACTATATTTACGCGTTAAAAATAACAAATGATACTGAGTAATCAAATATGATTAGAGTAGAGATGGAACACTTCAGGGATCTCTCCGCCTTTGATGGGGGACGTATAATTTCCATAACCAGTCTTTCCAACCCTTTCATCAATACTAACCCTATCAGGGTTTATAAACATGGAGGATCCATTATTCTCCGTGTCCCAGTAACCGTTATCACCTTTCTGCTCCTACCCGGAGCTCCGCCTTGCCGTTATCTAGAGTTTTAACAGATTTTACACCTATGCTTGTATCCGACACTATAGTAAGCGTGGCTCTATTTTTACTTTATAACAGTCAACTAAACCCTGGATTAGGTTTAGGTCAGTGTTTTATACTAAATATGTACAACACTAAATATGTACAACACGACTGGTATGAATCCGTGCTGGTTTACACTAAATTTACTTCATAAAGGTCACAAATTCATATGCTAAATGTTTAAATAAAGAGAGAAAAGGAGTGGATGAGATTAAAGTAAAGAACCAAAGTCACTCAGGGGGGAAAGTTTACTGCTGCACCCCCCCCCCCTTAAAACTGACGGTAAATTTTTTTTTGATGCTTCAAGCATGGCAGATTTCGTTGAACTTAGTNGTCCTTTTCGTATTTAACTAAAATCCTTAATTTTCAATCTTTTTTAACAAGATAATACTATTTCTACAGTTTACTAACTCATGTTATACATTAGATCGACTGCCTTTATTATTGTTGTTACGCAAAAACTAGTTCTTCAAGCAGTCCGAAAACGTCTCAGCAAATTGTGTACGAAAACCCTATCGCCCCCTCCTTCTATTCAATATATTTCTCCTTGGATAAGAGCAAGAAGGTAGACCAGGAAGAGGGGAGGAAGGCCAGCCACAACAATTTTTTGTCCGAGCCACATTCTCCTCATTTTCTCGTCCGAGCCATCTCTAAATCCTCATCCTTCCAATTTTATTTTTTAAAAGTGTCTAGTCCTCCAAGATAAAACATTTTTTTAAGAATCGGGCCACATTAGTGCTTAAATGAAATATTGACTTTTAGTAAATCGAAAAAAATAGTTTCAATTGAATTAAAGTTTTCGAGTTCTATGTCCTTAAAAATGTTCACCTTTTTTACGCGCATTTTTAAATATTCTTTAAGTAGAATGCCAAAAATAATTAATTACAGTGAAAACCATAGATTTTTTCCAGGTGGTTCCATGGGGAAAATGATAGGCAGAGGTATGCCAAATATTTTGCTATTTATTTCATATCGCAAAGGTAGGCGCCATTTCGGAGGCAGAAGAGTTTTAAGTTTTACCTAAATAAAGTTTGACATCATTCTCATGTCTCTAAAGATTCAAACATGATTTGATCATTGCAATACTTTAGTCCATCCATATTTTATACCCTAGCGTGGCCAGATTTGTTAAAAATAGTTTTATCTTCAAGAATTAGAAACTTTTCAACGCATAATAAACGAAGGACTAGGATCAAATCTGTGTACTGCAGTGGGAGGAGATCAAAATAAAGAATTCAGGGGCAACCCATAATTTTTGAGGGAAAAGGGCCCAAGGGGTGGAATAAGAATATATTGCTATTGTATTTTCCAAATTTACCAGAAAGCCAAAAATCATAAGTATTCGCTCTAACTTGATATATTGACTTGTTTTTTGTTGGACTGTATGTAATATCACATCAGAGCTGTAGTCCTTTCCCTTCAACTTCTGTGGGGGCACTGGGTTGGTAACTTGGTTTACATTCCTCCCACAGTGTACAGTACATAATATGTGTATATCTGAGTTAGACGTTCCTGTATATATTTCCTTGGATACGAGAGCGTAGTACAATTTTAAGGTTTTGAGAAAATTGAAAGCAGCACCATCTCTGGAGTACGCATGGCTTTGTCCTCTGGATCAAGTTTAAATCCAAGGAGAATTGAATAGAAGGAAGATGCGTCGAGCATAGTATATGTTCAACTACGCTAAATAGTTCTGCAGGGAAATCTTTTCGTGCACTTCAGGGTCTAAAAAAAGAGAATGTTTTAGAGTTTTTTTTTATAGCTGAAAAGTGTGAATGTGTTTAGAAGAATTCATTTCATAAATATATATTTGTACCTATATATTTAAACCTGAGTACTAGATCAGCTGATTACACACTACACTTTCCTTCAATCTCTATAAAAAGTGCATTATTCATAACTCTTCTTATTTCGTCATATGTGTAAACATTTAAAGCAATTTGTTTATTTATCTAAAAATGCTACAGAGATTGAAAGAACGTAAAGTAGAGGTATAGATCGTCCGTAGTTGCTATAAACTTCAGATAGATGAAAATTTATTAATTTTTTATACTATCAATTTTTCTTTAAAGCAGCCTTCTTGCATTTTTTTACGTGTATAAAAATGTATACACTTATAGAATATTAACAGGAGCACAGTGTGAGTGGCTTAAACGTCCCGCCCCACAGTCCGTGGAATTCTCATTTAGTACGCGCCGTACATTTAGGGTTGTTAATCGTTTTTTTTGTTTCGTTTTCTGATCGTTTTCAAAAACGATAGGCTCGTGTTCGGAAAAAAACGATCGTTTTTAAAAACGACCCACTCGTTTTGAATTTTAAAAAAAATGATCGTTTTTGAATTTTTTTATTGAGGTTAAAGATCGTCAACGAAGGGTCGTCGTTAATGGTCGTTAAGTAAACGACGAACTTAAAAAAACTGTCGTTTTTGAAAAATATCGTTTTGTTTTCGTTTTTTTTTTTGTCGTAGTTTTCATAACTAAACGATAGTTTTTCAAAAAAAATGAAAACGTTAACATCCCTACGTACATTATATCTAATACATTTAGATATTAAATATAACAAGTTTTGGATAATATTCCTAGTTGTACAGAAAATTATTAAAAGGTTTCTTTGTCTATGATGTATATAAAATATAACAATTTTCCTCTCAAATGTTTATAAAGATAAAAACAAGGCCTTTAGATTAAATATGATTAAGTAAAGATTAAATATAATTAAGTAAAGATTAAATATGATTAAGTAAAGATTAAATATGATTAAGTAAAGATTAAATATGATTAAGTAAAGATTAAATATAATTAAGTAAAGATTAAATATGATTAAGTTAAGTAAAGATTAAATATGATTAAGTAAAGATTAAATATGAGTACAAGCAAAGCAATGTGCGAAAATCTATCAAGCTTTGCAGTGCTTTCTTAATTTCTCGTAATTTTTTCAATTTAAATTATTAAATTGAATTTTATTTTAATGTTATATTACTGTAAAATTAATTTTTTGATGTTACATTGATGTCAAACTGATATAACTGCTTTTCTTATACCATAATCCACCTGATACCAATTCCACTGTTTGATACCAATTCCACTGATTAATCTCAATTGATTAATACTGTAAGATACATGGACAGAAAGGTTAATAAATGGACTGTTACTAAAATAAGGGTTCATGGATCTAGAGTAAAATATTTGCATAAGCCCTACAACCATGGGTGCAATTAATGGACTCAAAACTCACTAGGATTTACATCTGGCTTGTTATGAGAGAAACCAATATTTATAACAAAAGGAACCTAGAAAAATTGACCCATTAATGTGAGAATATATTTTCTCTGGAGACAATGATAGTGAACCAACAAGCTGGTCCATGCACAAGACATCATTGACATTTTTGGCAAGGTTTTCGAAAGGTTCAACATTGTTCAAATTGATCTCTTCTCTATGAAGACAACCTGCACTCTCAGTGACGAAGATACGTGTATCCTTTCTCCAGCAGCCAGGCCAATACAACACTAGTCTCAGTGGACTTCCCAGTGTTCATGTGCATGTACAATTGTGACAAAATATATGAACGGGAAAAGTAATTACAAATTGAAATNACATTCTTAAATGCAAACCCACATAAGATTACAATATACGCTACTACAACTTTACATTCTTAAATGCAAACCCACATAAGATTACAATATACGCTACTACAACTTTACATTCTTAAATGCAAACCCACATAAGATTACAATATACGCTACTACAACTTTACATTCTTAAATGCAAACCCACATAAGATTACAATATACGCTACTACAACTTTACATTCTTAAATGCAAACCCACATAAGATTACAATATACGCTACTACAACTTTACATTCTTAAATGCAAACCCACATAAGATTACAATATACGCTACTACAACTTTACATTCTTAAATGCAAACCCACATAAGATTACAATATACGCTACTACAACTTTACATTCTTAAATGCAAACCCACATAAGATTACAATATACGCTACTACAACTTTACATTCTTAAATGCAAACCCACATAAGATTACAATATACGCTACTACAACTTTACATTCTTAAATGCAAACCCACATAAGATTACAATATACGCTACTACAACTTTACATTCTTAAATGCAAACCCACATAAGATTACAATATACGCTACTACAACTTTACATTCTTAAATGCAAACCCACATAAGATTACAATATACGCTACTACAACTTTACATTCTTAAATGCAAACCCACATAAGATTACAATATACGCTACTACAACTTTACATTCTTAAATGCAAACCCACATAAGATTACAATATACGCTACTACAACTTTACATTCTTAAATGCAAACCCACATAAGATTACAATATACGCTACTACAACTTTACATTCTTAAATGCAAACCCACATAAGATTACAATATACGCTACTACAACTTTACATTCTTAAATGCAAACCCACATAAGATTACAATATACGCTACTACAACTTTACATTCTTAAATGCAAACCCACATAAGATTACAATATACGCTACTACAACTTTACATTCTTAAATGCAAACCCACATAAGATTACAATATACGCTACTACAACTTTACATTCTTAAATGCAAACCCACATAAGATTACAATATACGCTACTACAACTTTACATTCTTAAATGCAAACCCACATAAGATTACAATATACGCTACTACAACTTTACATTCTTAAATGCAAACCCACATAAGATTACAATATACGCTACTACAACTTTACATTCTTAAATGCAAACCCACATAAGATTACAATATACGCTACTACAACTTTACATTCTTAAATGCAAACCCACATAAGATTACAATATACGCTACTACAACTTTACATTCTTAAATGCAAACCCACATAAGATTAGAATATACGCTACTACAACTTTACACGGGAATTAAAATTTTGAACTTTTTTCACCAAAAATATTTATTTCAAGTCTATTTAAGAGATGGCAAGGCGAAACAATATTTACATTCATGAGCTGAAGGAGCTTAAGTGAGTTATCAAAAATGACCAATTTTGTTCAAATGTTCAATCTACATAATTGATCATTGTATGTATAACCATCAAATTACAAAATCATATCTATACATTTCATAATGATAAGAAAATATGAAAACGTCTCATTCCATGTTATTGTTGCCTAAAGTGAAAAAATGTTAATATTATTACAGTTCTGTAAAAAATATAATTATGCGATTAATTATGAAATTATGAAATAAAATGTTATTTTAAGTTTTGTTTTTACACATTTTAGTGAACCTGTTTTTTTTTATAAAATTTATTTAGACTGTTCTTCGAAAATTTTAATTACATTAAGAATATGATGAAAGTTAATGTACAAGGTGACATGTAGATTCAGACTGTAATGAAAAGTTGTATCAATTTTTAAGACTGGGTCGATCTTGAAATGTCGCAACACCTTTATTTCTTTTTTGTAGCAGCTTAGACGTGGACATTTTAAACATTAAATCAATATATTAAATTTAGTACATTTGTATAAGAAGTTATTTGCAAAACTCTCATCAACTTGCAACCTTTTGATTATTGTGATTATTCACAAAGGATGAGACTTCAGAGACGACTGTGACTGGAAACGTACATTCATAGTTCCCTGCAGCTGTTATAGAATTTCTAAATGCAAATAGAGAATATACTTTTTTATCCATTTAAGATATTATTATTATTTATCACGGAGAATGTTCCTTCATGTGTCAGCTGCAAAACTAAAATACGTATTTACCATAAAAAAAGACCATAATCTTTAAAGATTCTTGCATTTTTTATTTAGATAATTTCTCCGTACACTTGACGACCAATATAGTAGACGTCAAGTTGTCGACCAATGTAGTTTATGGAAGGAACGGCTTTTGTAGAAGAATATTCAATCTGTTTTTTACTACTTTTAAAAGAAACGATCCTTGTTCCTCCTAAATATGCTCTATTTCCAAAGAAGAAACTTATAAGATTATGTAGATAGTTGTGTACTTCTTAAAAACCAATAAACATAAACAAGGAATTCAAATTTTGTTGTTTCTTTAAAAGTTTGCTGCCATCTCATTCCTTAAATTGTACTTATTGGATAATGGCTGTTTTAAACGCTATAATTTATGCAGGGTTACCTACAAATACATAAACTGAGATTTTATAGACAATTTTTTCTCCCATTACTGGTTCCAGGCAGATTTGGCAACTATAAACTTATTTCTTATTTGTCTAAATTTTAAAATTACCCTTTAACCTATACTTTAAAGCATAGTCCTGAAATTCACCCTTAAAGTTGTTTTTCTGAAGAGTTTTGAATCTTCTTTAAAGGTCGAATCCTTTGTGGGTAACCCTGTATATCTTGAGTTATTATTAGTAATAAAGGTCATGCTTTTTCTGGGTAACCCTGTATATTTTGAGTTATAGGTAGTAATTAAGGTCGTGCTTTTTCTGGGTAACCCTGTATATTTTGAGTTATAGGTAGTAATTAAGGTCGTGCTTTTTGTGGGTAACCCTGTATATTTGAGTTATAGGTAGTAATAAAGGTCGTGCTTTTTATGGGTAACCCTGAATAATTTGAGTTATAGGTAGTAATAAAGGTCGTGCTTTTTATGGGTAACCCTGTATATTTTGAGTTATAGGTGGTAATAAAGGTCGTGCTTTTTATGGGTAACCCTGTATATTTTGAGTTATAGGTAGTCTTTAAAGGTCGTACCTTTCGTGGGTAACCCTGTATATTTTCAGTTAAGGTAGTCATTAAAGGTCGTACTTTTTGTGGTAACCCTGTATATTTTGCTGATGCTTTCCTGTCATTCTACCTTTGATCAAAATAAGATTTTATAACTTTATATATTATATTTCATTCAACAGGAATCATTTCATTTTAAATTTAAAGAATTAGAACAAACACTAAATGTGGAAAAACATCTAACAAGAGAAAGGACAAAATTTATCAAATTAACAAAAAGTATTTAAATAAATGCAAAGAATGTATAGTACCAGGGGGTGATGTGCAAAAAATATCCATTAACGGTATACGTATTTGGACAAGAATTAACACTGAATCACTTCAACAGGAAAGTTAAGGGAGTAATGATGAGGATTGTATTATGGATTATAATTGTATTTGATGGCGTGGAATACGGTTTAAATAAGCTCCAAATGGATCAGGTAAACTCCCAAAGTCAAGCACTGGACATTCACTGAAAACAAATAAATTAATAAATACACGAACTAGAATGCAAAGAATGCAAAGAATGCAAAGATCATGCAAAAGATTTATTGTATAATAAAGATTACATAATAAAAATTTCTGTCAACCTTAACTCCATGAAAAGCGGACTTGAGTTTAAGTGTAAAGATATCTGGAACTGCCTTTCAGCAACAGAATATATAATTTTACGAAACTATCCCTATTCTGGATTTCCCCAGAGGTTGTTCTAAATAAATTGCTTGTGATATATATGAAACAGGGGGGGGGGGGGTGTATAAAACTTCCCAGTAAATGTCCAATTTCCAAACCTCTGATTTCGTTTTCGGAGGTTAAAAAAAACTGTATAATAAATCCAAAAAAATTTATTTTACCTAAAATGTTCCATTCCTTCCAGTTTATTCAGAAGTTTCTTCTTCTCCACTTCTATAGACCCGTGTTGAGCTAGAAGAACAAAAGGAGATTTCCGTCCGAACTTGAATTCTATCCGGTTGATCACAGAGTCAAGAAAATCATAAGTTGGTTTTTCCCAGAATCGTCGGTTCGGAACTTTTGAAAACTTGGTCCGGGCGGAAGGGAAAAATCTTGACTAAAATAGAGACATAAAATGATTAGTATTTAGTTCTCGTCGACCACTAGAGCACCAAATCAAATCAAATCAAATCAAATCGGATTCAGGCTATTAGGTATTTGAATGTGTTTAGAAAACTCGGTCAAATTATTGGGATTCTTTGTGTTATTGTTTTTTGATTAATATGTTGATGTATGTACAAGTACATTGTACATTATTTAACAAAATTTAATGAAATACATGCATACGCGAATACATGCATACGCGAATATATATTTCAGACCTATCTGACCATGGAACAAGGGGTGTATGACTGTATGCTGTATATTTTTCAGTTTTTTTTTTTGATGATTGGGGAGGGATTAAATGAAAAATCGGACATCAAAGGACAATTTTTTTTCTTTCATTTTGATAATTTTTAACCAAAAATTCTTTAATTTCCCCCAATTCAGCAAATAAAACCCTAAAAAAGGACATTTTTAAGTTAACTACTTGGGAAAACAAATAAATTTCAAAAAAGAGGGGGGGGGGGGAGGGGGCCCCTGATAAAATTCCAAGATGTGCGACACACTTTTTTGGAAGCATTAGGGTAAAACTGGCTCAAATACGAAATTTCAGCATTTAAAAATAATTTTCCTAAATGACCCAGCTATTTTACTGATTTTCCCGCCATGTTTCGCCTTATTATCATTTTTTAACCATTATCGGCTAAATAGGGTTTACTTTTGTCAATTTTCAAGGGATTTTTAGCAATGCAAAAACAAAACTTCAATATCTTTAAAGAACATGGATGGGCCTACGGGATTTTACGCGTTGCTAAACTTGTTCACTAAAATGTCCAAAGCTCAGCCATCTTTAAAAGATGTTCAACATTTGTTTTGTACTGTGCAATTTAATATCTTTTTATGAAAAACAAGCAAGAGGAGTTGAGGAGAACATTGCACCAGAAAAGGTTTTTTTAAATGGATTTTTTGGCCAATACCTTACACATTTCCCTCTAAACTTGTCAAAAAAACATTTCTTAAGCCATTTCTGAACTGTCAAAATATTTTCAAATAGCATGGTGTTTAGTTTGAAAAAAAAAATTTACTTAAACCACTCCCAGATGTAGCTGACAAAAGGTGTAAAAAAGAAGCGATTTTTCACCTTTTTCTAAATATTTGACCATCAAAAAAAACAAAAAATCGAAAAAATTGTCAAATATCGTTTTAACCAAGTTAAAGGATTTCCAAAATGGTATCTCTCTTTAAAAACCTAGAATGGTTAAAAAAGGATAAAAAAGACCAAACATGGCGGGAAAAAACAGTAAAATAGCTGGGACATTTAGGAAAATTATTTCAAAATGTAAAATTTCGTATTTAAGTCAGTTTTACCCTAATGCTTCCTAAATATGTGTCGCACAACTGGGAATGTTTTTCAGGGGCACCCTAGAGGGGGGAAAGAGTTTTTTTAAAAAGATAACTGACAGTCCATGGAAGGCTAAAAAATTTAAAATTTTTAAAACTTCTCATATTTTGAATTTCTTACCAAATAGAAGAGTCTATGGTGTGCGGAGAGTAGATGATACATGAGCTCCCTAGTCTTACATTCAAACTTGCAGAGAAGACAGGTATAATCAGGTTCCCCCTTCTCTCCGACAATCTCTACTATATATTCTAATCCAATGAGCGGAGCTGCCTTGTACTGTTGGAGTAGACTAGAGATAGGACCAGGATCAGTCACAGCAACAGAAGGCTTAGGAACCACTGCAGGGGGTTTTCGAGGACCCTCAGAGTTTTCTAAAAATACAAAACAATTTGGATTAGAACAAAATATTTATAAAATTAAAAGGTGATAACTAGGGAATAAAGGAGGGCCAGTTGGAATCCTTGTATATCAGAGACCTCAAATCCTGAATCACCGATTCAAATCCTCATGAATTAACTTTTAGAATAGGAAATTCCGGATTCTAAGGGTGTAAAACAACTTTATACGTCATTTTAATCTTTATTTTTCTTACTTACCTACAATGGTGAATTCTTCAAGCTTAGTTTTGTGCTTTCTACCAAACATATGGCCCTCCATATTTCTCTTCCCTAACACGGTAATATTGCAGATTTCACATTTGAACTGAAGGTTTCCTTCCACAAGGGAAGAGGTAAAAACGTCCTTATCTGGTCCACCCTGTAGATCCTTAACTTGCTGGTTTAACCGGTAATCATTAAACTCCTTTCCTAAATCATAGATTTCAGCACTTTCATGGGGTTCGTCCGAGTTCTGTTTCCGTCGGAAATTGAGTAGTTGGGATTGAAACTCTGTCCGTAGAAGCATGTTCCAGTCAAACATAAACTTTTCCAGGTACTCTCGTTCTGTTACAGTGGTTAGCCTATTGTGCAACTGATCTGCAAGATGAGCTTCAGAGTCATCCTGTAATTGGATACTATTGGGGCCATCTGAACCTGGTTGTTCCTCTAACCTTGAATTTGAACCATTGAAATTAGTTCTACCCTCACCATTGAAGAAATCTCTAGGTGGGGTTTGTCTTGTGTTTTGTTGGAATGGTACTCGTTCTTGTTCTCTAGAACGATTAAAATCAGAGGAAAAATTCTGATGATTTTCATGATCATTAGGATCGCCGAGCAATCCAGTTTTATTTCCTGGGTTGGGAAAACTCATAAAACCGGGACGATTCATCTCGTTTATACTATTCGGGAAAGGTTGCCTGCCTCCCACAGGGTTTGTAGGATTTACATCAGAACTTTTGTTCATAAAGTTTGGAAGGTTTGATGAGTTGAGATTGTTCAACAATCTTGGTCGATGGTGAAAATTTGATTGATTCAAATCTGATTGCAAGTTCATATTGGGAAGATTTGACGAATTTGACTTATTGAAAAATTTTGGCGGATTTTGAGGGAATGGAGCATCTCTACTGTTGATCCAACTATTATCAACCAACAAGTTATTAATCTGAGAAGAGTTTTGGAACATCGGGTTTAAAGTCGGTTCCTCCCTTTCACTCCCTGGATCAAACCTAGGATCAGGTAATAACCCACCTCCACGTGGACCATTAAAATTCTCCACATCGTTAAACCGAGCATTAATATTAGATTGACCCGTTTTCATTTCGTTTCTGAAATTGAACAGAGGATTCGTGAAATTCTCTGGTTCCATAAACTCATCGAGAACTCGACTCACGGACGGAGAATTCATATCTTGTAAACGTTCTCGCTTAGGACTAGGTTCATAGAACGGAGACTCAAGGATCGTTCTTCTCTTCATACTCCGCAGCTTTTCCAGGGCGGAGGACATATGCGGCACAGGCGGAGGCCGGGCTCCCCGAAGCTTGGATATGGCCGACGAAAATCCTTCATCTTGAGGAGGTTCTGCAATATTATTCTCTTCTCGACTGTTGTCCTGGAATCCCCAAGAGGATGCAAAGCTGTCAATATCATTATCGTCTACTTGATGGTTGTTAGATCGGACATAGTCCTGGACCTGAGGCTTTACTTGCTGGAGTAGATGGGGAGGAGGAGGAGGGGGTTGGTTCAAGGCCTGAATAATATCAGGTACTGCAGGTTTGGATTGGTTCGGAAGTTGCATGATCATCATTTTCCTAACACTATGACCTCGCTCACTCATCGGTTTCTTTGATTCCCATGTCGAGGAGAGATCTGATTTCTTCTTGAGAAGATGTTTGGCAAGTTTCTCCTTGGCACGGAACAACTTCTCTTCCTCCTCCAGAGTATCGTCAAGCTCTCCAACAATCTCCAGAATCATGGAATCGTCTAGATCTGCCTCCTGGACGTTTATGGTGGAAGAATCGTCATCATCGTCATAATGACTATGAGGGGGGGAATCTGGTGGAGGCCGAGGGGGAGAATCAGGTAGTTCTCCAGGTTCAAGATCAACTACAGGATCTGGAGGGAGAGGCGGTAGATCGTCAAGGGGTGGGAGGAGTTTAATGGATTGAGAAGGACGTTCTCTTTCATAATCTTCATCATGAGTACGCAAGGAAGGTAAATAGAGTCCGCCACTTCCTTTAATTTTGCCGGAATCTTCTTTCTTGGTTGTTTTTAAACTAGAAATCACCTTGTTGATAAATACTCCCAATCCTGCTCCTGTCAATCTTGATCCTAGATCCTTAGATTCAACATCGGATCCTACAATATCCTTGGGTGGATTGAGCATGAACGAATCCATTGGATCGATTTGAAAATCCTTAAAAGTTTTCCCTTTTGGAACAGGAAGTCTTTTCTCCTCTAGACTTGCCTGCCACAACGGAGAAGTTGAAGGTTCGTAAGCTTCATTTTCACTTTTCCTTTTCCGACTTTGCTGCTTGGATCTTTTATCCCTGAAATGCTTCGCTATTCTCTGATCAATGTCTGAAGGAAACCTGACAGATGAAAGGATGGATGAAGAGGAAGGAGCAGGGACAGGAGTGGGAGGGAAAGAGGCTAGAACAGGATCTGGAGGCCGAACCTGGGCAGATTGTTGTGTCAAGTATGGATGTGGTATAGGAGCTGGTACTGCAGGTAAGGGTAGGGCAGGAGTAGGGATGGTTGACTGAATGGATTTGGGAGCGGTTTCTATCGCCACCTTCTTGGCATAAAACTCCGGGTAGTAACGGTTACACCGAAGAAAGGGACTAGGAGTTCGACTACGATCTCTAACAAACTTTTTACTTTCAACAGTCTTTACAGGACTCTCAACTACTTTGGCAACCTGGTGGGATTGATCATCATCATCATCATAATCATCAAATCCACCTCCATTATCATCATTGTAGTCATCAGCGCAATCATCATTCGACTCGGAAACATGTTGATCCATCGTTACCTTTTCATGATTGTAAGCTGGATCTTTACTTGCTGTGAGTTTTGATCGGTCCATGTTTTGTATTGATCTGGGAGAAAGAGGTATAGAAGGTACAGGCACAGGAAAATCATCTTCGTCAGCTACAGCAGATACAGGTTCAGGGAGATCATCGTCAGAGTTGTCATCGATGCACTCGGCAGGAGCCGATGTTTTTAATTTTGGAACAATTATGTGTAACTGAGATTTGCCGATTGGAGCTCCCCACTCATCAGAGGTTAGATCAGTCATTGGGTTTGCCGGAGCAATCATATTCTCCGCTAGATCCTTCATACGCTTCTCCTGGTGTCTAATCTTATCCGCCTCACGTTCTTTCAGTTTAATCTCCTGAAGAGCTAATTCATCCGACGCTCGAGCCGGAGACGGTTTCTCCGTCAGGTTGGGTTGCTCCGAATCTAATTTCTCCGTAGATTTTGCGCTCTCAGGTTTGTGCGTTTTAAGTTTGTCCATGGATGAGAGGATGTTGTCTACGAAGTTTGGAGCAGCGGCAGGTTTTGCAATCTGTTCTTCAATCTAAATATACATATTTCATCACTAGCTAGGAGAAAGGGGTTGTTAACATTTTACTCTGACGTATTAGGTAATGTTTAGACAGTTCTAGAAACTAGTTTAGTAACCGGGGCTTCCTGCCTTGGTTCAGAATACAAGGCCTTGTTTACAAACTTTGATCATGATTACAATACAAGTTCATAATCTGCCCTAATTTGTCTGTTTGTTTGTTCAGATGTCCGATAATAACTGACTTTAAAATATATTTTGTTAAAATTTATAAATCTACACAAAGATATGGATCTGTGAACCCCCACATCGGAAAATATCATTAGCCGCCGCATCCCCAAAAAAAGGCTAGATTGAAAAATTGAAGAAAAGGGATTTTGCCTCTCCAAAAAATAATTTTGAGATATTTGTCGCAAGACCAGAGATAAATTCAACAAATAGTTGGATAGTTTATCTGAAAAAATAATCCCTGAGAATTTGCATGATTTAAGATTAATTAGAACATTAGCAATTGAATAGAAAATGAAATCATGAAGTAGGCAAAATAAAATTGGTTTTTGTAAAAACTCAAAACCTTTTTTTAATCTAGGACTGGCAAAGTTTATTTTTATGTTAAAACTTTTTTACCTATTATTATTATCATTATTATTACTATTATCACAATTATTATTATTATTATGTCTTATATTTGTAATTATCAAAACATCTGTAGTATAAATACTTGTGGAATCTGATAATCAAATAATCATGAATTATTAAACCTGAAAAGTTTTTACCAACTAAAATTATGTTAACAACTGTACAACTAATGACTAAAAAATCAAATCAATCAAAATAAAATAAATGTTTACCTTCTTGATGTCTATAACTTTTTCTTTCTTCCGAACCACTTCCTTTATTCTCTGTTCCTTTCTCCAGTCCTGGTATCGTCCAACATGTCGGTTTTGAGGACTATGATATGATTTCTGTGGTGTTGAGACTCCTTTCTTCAATCCCTCTTCTAGGATGGATTTTAGGGTTTGTTTATTTTCAGCAACCTGAGAAACTTTCGGAATCTTAAATTTGTTCGGATCCCTATTTTTCTTCTCGTCTTTCCCTCGTTTAAATTCTGGTTTCTTTTGGTGTTTCTCTGCCTTCTTTTGGGATTCTTTCTGTGAATCAGTTTCGGAGTCCGAACCTTGCTCCTCCGACTTCTTGGATTTGGGAGACGGATTCGGTTCTCGGTTCCTCACAGGGCTATTATCACTGGAGCTGGATGAGAGTGATCGAGATCGGATAAATCTTTTCTTAACACTGGACTGACTGTTGTTGATTAAACGAGATTTACGATCATAATCCCATAAATAAATGCTGTCCCCATTTCGTTCATTAAAAACTTTCAGAGCTTTTTCATACGCAGCCGTATCCTCGTTCTTCACATTTTTTATATTCACTTGGACACCGCGCATATTGAAAGTTCTTAATCTACGATAATCCCTTTTCTTTCTTTTTACCCTATCAACCTTTGTATCAATGACTAATTGATTAATGTTATTAATGGCACTCTGCATACTATTTTCAAGCTCACCCAGGGTCATGCTGCTTTTGGTCAGTATACGCTGCTCCTCGGAGTGTAGCTCTAGTAGAGCTCGGAGAAGCTGAAGCTCCGGAGTCTGCTTAAACAGATTTGGAAGCAGCCATTTTTTACGTTCTATCTCCGAGGACTTCGTGAACGCAAATGCGGGAATATTTTCATCCTGAAAAAAAAAAATTGGATTAGATTTTGGTGAAAAATTGTAAAATGTGTAAACCTTAATTTTGTATAATATATAATGCTTACATGATCGGATACTGCTCCGTCTGAACTACCCTCTCTGTCATCAATACAAGCGTCATCGAAAAAATCCTCGTCACCTCCAGCGAATATCGATGCCTCGGGAACCTAAATCGAAAATAAAATTTTATGTTTTAAGCGCAAAAAAATAACCAATCCAATAAAGTTGGTGTTTAAGAACAGGGAAAACTTGGCACTAAGAATATTGAAAATGAAATTTATTGATAAATAGGCTTTTAGGGCGCCGCATCTTCTACTTTGTGAACATGTTCTTTTTGTTTACATTTAAAAACAAAGAGAAATTTTTTTTGCGGATTTGAAAAAAAATTCGCGGATTTTCAAGAATTTAATTTTTTTACAAAATTAAAAACCTTTAAAACGCATTTTTTTTAAATTTATATCATTCATAAACCTTCACTGTGGTCACGTGATGTCCCACAAAAAATTTGGGCCCGATCGGTTCAGCCGTTTTGACGTTTATTGGATACAAACAAACAGACAGACAAGCCAAATTTATATATAGATTGTCACTTAAATCTAAAATTATACCTGAAAATTATCTAATTCCTTGACTGGAGCGGATCTATTCTCTGAAGCAGATTTTTCTGATTTGACTTCACTTGAACCGAAAAGCTGCTCGAAAGGATCAGATATCAAAGGTTCGATATGTTTCTCAGGTTCTTGGGTTCGAGTCGAGGTGTTATCCAAGGTACTATTTATTGGAGTTGGTTCGACGAAAGCGTCCGGGGTTTGAGCTGAAGAATCATCTGGAGTCTTTTCAATTTCTGAAGATTTAGGCATTGAAATACTATTTTCAGAAGTCTTCTCAGGAGTGGGTTCCGCTAAAGGAGTTTTATTGGGAGTGGTTTCCGATCTTGGAATTGTATTGGGAGTGGTCTCCAATATCGGAGTTTTATTGGGAGTGGTTTCTGATATGGAAGTTTTTCTAGGTTCCGATAAAGAGGTTTTCTTATGAATTTCCTCTGTTACTTCAGTCTTAATGGTTACCCCGGAGACTGTTTTACTTCCCTTAATCAGAGAGAAGAGCATTTCAACCAACTTCTCTTTCTCCTTCTCCTGTCTATCCTTCCCCTCCGGAGGCAGGTCTGTTTGAAAGAATGGGTTTGTGATAACAGTGGATTCTTTGGATAAATCTTCATCTTCACTTTTATCTACGGAAAGAGATTTTCTTTTCTCCGAGGATATTTTTCTCTTCTCAGTAGAGATCTTTCTTTCCCCATTTGGTTTGGGATCTTTTAGCTTTTTATGTGATTTTGGTTCAGGTTTCTGAGGTTTAAGGGTTCCATTAATCTTGGTTTCAGTTTTAACTGGAGACTCCTTCTCATTCTCTGAATCAGAGCTGGTATCTGTATTTATTCCAAACTTTTCAAACAAACGTGAAGACTCCTTAGTTGATTTTGGAGATTTCTGCTCTTGGACCTTTATAGATTTAGAAACGGATTTTGCAGCAGGTTCATTTTTTATTTCTACATTGGCTTTCTTGCCTTTTTTAGGAGTTGAATTTTTTAACTTTTTCTTCTTAATGTCGTCTTCTTTACTGATATATGGAGGGTTCTGTTTATCCATGAATTCTTTATATTGTTTGTATTTGAAGTTTACAATATTTTTGTGAAGTCTCTCTACTCCAACTCTAAGATTCTTAATCGTCACTTCTTTCAAGTTTGGAGTTGAAGACGGAGCAGGATCACAGGATGTATTGGAGACGGACTCTTTCTTCACCGACTTAATTAATGGTTTCTGCGGAGCTTTAATCCACTCTTCTTTCATAGGTTTCTTGGAAACTTTAGCTGATTTTTTACTTGGAGTTTCTTCTTCTTTCTCCTTTTTTATCAACGCCTTGACCGCGAATCCCCCTCCCATGGACTTAGAAGAACTGGTTTTCTTTCCATTTCCTTTCTTCTTAAAGAACTCGGGATGAGAGTTTTTTAACTTGCCCACAGGAAATCTTTTTGCCGAGTTTAAATGTTTAGTTTTATATTTAAAGTTTGGTAGAAGAATATCACATTTCCTGATCCCCAGCTCCCTTTTAGAGTCGACAACAGTTACAATAGTATCGTCGTATTCGAGTTCAATATCCTTAGGATCCTCATCCTCACATGTATCAACGTCAGCTGATCCACTTACAACATTTTCTAAATAAATTTTATATAAAAATTTAATTAATTTTCATTATAATTTTGTAAAACTTGTGTAACCAAATAAATATGCTTTTGCATACTTATGCTTAAAATCAAAACTAAGGGAATTGCGAGGTAACAAAGTCGTATAAGTAAGTTCGCATAAGTTTTACCTTCTCCTTCTGCCAAGTGTAGTGTGCGTGCGCTCTTTGAAGTAATAATATTATAGCTTTTTATTGTTGCTGTTACTATGAACTCATTTTTTATGTGCAGTTGGAAAAATCAGTGCTTAGGATCCATTAGGATCCATTCAATTTTGATGCGGATCTGCACAGGAAAAAAAGGATCTGGAGCCAGGTCATTTCTGTAGAATTTATTGATTTTTTAACAACGCAGAAATTTCAATTTTGTTTTCCTATTTTTTTTCTCGCTTAATTTTATGATATAATTTAATGAACCATTCAGAAATCCGGAAATTTATATAATCTCTTATTTTTAATAATTCAGATTTGGGTTTAGAGATTGAAAAAGTTTTTTGCAGTTTTTGTTGATATTTTACCCCTTGGACCCGGGGATCCGCATATTTTTGTGGAAACGGATCCTAAGCACTGGAAAAAATGACACGGATTTTTTTGAAAATTTTCTGCCTATTATTTGAGCGCAAACCACTTCTGTTATTTAAAGTTGTACAAATTATTATTAACATACGAACAAAGACAAATATTAAAATTATACAAGTGCGTCCATTCACCAACACTCACTTAAGAGTTTCAGTTTGAAGATTGGTAAATAAGTTTTTACCTATTTGACAGATTGAGGTAGGACTCGGAGGAGGACTCATTGGTTCAAGTTTAACATCTAACTCTGATCCTCCAGGTTCAACTCCGTCCTCTACACTGGAGATATACAACTCATCGTCCTCGGCGGTCTCATCAACAACTGTATCCGAGATATCCGCCTCCAGGATACCCTCCTCCTCAGCCTCTTCCTCCTCTTCATCCTCTACAGCTCCTCTCTCCTCCAACAAATCCATCGAAGACTCAAAGTTTTCTCTGAAATTTTACAGAATTAATCATTCTACAAAAAAAACAGAAAACAAGGGATTAAAAATACAAAAAACAAGGGATTAAAAATATATTCAAGTTTATAAATAATCAAAATAAACAAAAATTTGTTCAGTTGAACATTTCATTAATTAAAAAATTACCATCTATTTGTATTTTTAAACAAAACATAAATGATATTCTATTTGAATATTACAGTTAGGTTGGGGACCGACCCAAGTGAACAATATATAATTTAAATTAGTTGATTAGAACATAATTCAATTTTTAATATTTTTGTTAGACTCTATACAGACTTAAATTCATCTGGAATAAAAACTGGTTTTAGAATATCTGAACTATAGTTCAATTGAACGTTAGTTTAACCGGCTATTGTTCAAATCGATAAAGCGTCAATATTTATAGATTAGGCTGATAGATGGATATTGGATTTCCTCCCCCATCTCCTTTAAAGTTTAAAACCCAATTATTTATAACAACTTTAACAAATAAACATATTTAGCTCTTTCAGCTAATTTCCATGAACTCGATAACCTTCTGATATTCGTGTTACCACTAGAACAAGACCGATTAGAAATTTGACAGATAATAATTATTTATGAAGTTAAAGGTATGATGAAGATTTTCTAGTGGAATTCGTAAACAAGTATTAAGAAGAACCCAGGCAGATTAGGCAACAATATGATAAATAATGGAGCACTGCAAACGTAGTGTTTGATATAGCAACCTTCAACACTTGGTTCAAAATAAGAAAGATTCCCCCTCCAAAAATTTACATGAAATACCTTGTAACGCTCCGAGCATTCAAGAATGGAAATTATTACTATAAATATATTCATTCTTACACACTCATTTTCAATATTGATATTAACTAAATTACTTTGTACTGACATCATGCACATGGCCACTTTTTTCTTTTACATTTAAGCATGCTGACGCCTTCAAGATTAGTTCAGCTAGTTAATGAATATCCATCCCGGGTTAGGTTAAGATAAATTATGGCCCAAACGCCGCGGCTTGGATTAGCTTAGGCGGCCACAAGTCAAACTATGACCATGTACATTTTTGATGAGGGGGGAGGGTATGGGTTAAAAATCCTGGTCTAGGAAATTACCATAACATGTGGATTTGGGGGGAGGGGGTGATTAAAAACTTCTTGTTTTTTATTGATAAAATGAAAGGTTATGAAAGTCGATGGGCAATTTCCCAGAGAACGATTTTTGGAACCCCCCCCCCCCCTCCCCTCTCCTATCAATTTTAAACATGCATCTCATATTGAACACATAGATGAAGCTGGTCATATTTTGTTGAAAATTGTTGTAATTGAAGGTCTGTCCTAATATATAAAATTTTTAGGAGGGGGGGGGGTGGGTCCAAGCATCGTTCTCTAGGACAGACCCAATCGATTCGTGAAGTTAGGATTAGAGACCCTGTAAAGATTGCGGGAAATCATGAAGAAATTGAAAATTCTAGCAAATGAGTTCATGGCGAACCTTCTGCTTAGTTATTACCCATCGCAGGACTGTTTGTTGCCTAATAGTCATTGTATTCAAACAGAATTTCTAAAAGTTCTTTCTGTCCATATTGTTGATAATATTTCTAACCTTTTATCTTCGTCATGATCCATTCTAAAGCATATTTACATTATTTGTATTATTATTCTGCAGAACTTGCGGTATACACAACAGCTGACGTATCCTCCATTACTTGATATGATGTTAAATGTATATTCACTGCACACGCTAACCCACACGCACGTCACAGCTGGGTTCTTAGAAACCAGACTTACCAATAGTATACTTAATGTCCCACTTCTCAAACTATATTTAAGATAAGAGAGATAAGTAATGAAGGTTTAAACATTTATTAATGAAATACGAATAATCTAAGCCGCGTGTTTCTTTCTCATCGCTTGAAGTACATTCTGCATTTCTTCTCTCTTCTTTTTCGCAAGATCATGAGAACCGATTCTCTTTTTAAGAAACTTCAGACAACGTTTCTCCTTTCCAATCCTAAAAAATAGAAATGAATGAATTTAAACAATACACACCCAATTTTTTAAGACGTGCTACCATAGGTACGGTAACCAGTGTAACTATGGTTGTACCTTTGTTGGCGTGACTACCCAGAGTAAATACATAAAACTTGTTTACTGCGCTTGTGTTTAAAATGGGCAGCAGCCAATCTGTGTTACTCCTGAACTGTCCAGCCTTAAAGGGATAGACCGACTAGACATTGTAGGTGAGCTGAAAGTGCAAAATTGTAGATAACAACTTTATGATTCATTTAATACCAATGAGACATATTTACGGTGTACAATTTTTAAATAAGAGCGTAGAGTCGTTAGTAATATTTCACCAGTTGTTTCAGCCAACATAAGAAACATTTTTTCAATTCTTATAAAACATGAACAAAACATGTAATAAAAACTACTCTACAAACTAGTTGCATTTATACACAAAGGTTGAAAAAAATATTGAACTTATAGAATAAAAAATAAGTTGTTAAAATTCATTTTAAATCTCGCAGGTTTATGCAATTTTTTTAAGCTAGGGTCCTTTTTTAAAAGTTTTCTTCGTTTTAATTGTGAAGACGACATCAGCAAAGGTAATGGTGATAATGAAATATCATGGTGTATCTTTCGACCTACGCAAAGCCGCTATACTACACATCCGACATACTAGCACGTGGTTTAACAGCTCCTAAATGGACTTGTGACCGCAGCGCCCGGCCCCCAGACTGCCCAAGCCACGGCGCTCGGCCCAGAAATTAACATAACCTAACAAAACCCTCAAATAATACAAAAAAAACCAGCTGGCGTAAGTCCGATATATTGCAGTAGGTCGGAAAGTTAGTCGATGTAAAATTACCTAAAATAATAATCGATTCTACGGTTCAAATATGGCTTTCATCAATAATTTCTTTTAAGAATTATGTTCCTGAACAGCAAGATAGTCTATAAAATATATTTTTTTACATGTTTTGTCTGGGTTATTAAATAAATAATTGTTAAAAACGTTTCTTCTGCTGACTGAAACAACTGGTGAAATATTGCAAACGACTGAACGCTGTGATTGTACACAATAAAAATGTCTCATTGATATTTTAATAATACTATAACTAAAAGTATATAGTCAGCAGGACTCAGTCCCGAAGATGGATAGGATTGGCTCGAACCGTGCATCCTGATCAACACTGCTATGGTCGGCAGCTCCCAGCTTATCATGGCCCACAACTGGTTTATCAAAAACCCAAAACTCCAAACTCATTAGAAGAAACTTATGGAATTGTCCCGTTTAACAAACTTTCCTAAATATCTTGAAGCTTTCCTCTACAATACTGCACTTTCAGCTCAACTATCATGTCTAGCAAGTCACTCCCTTTATTGGTTGGATATATTTCTATCTAAACCATTATTGACCTGAGGAGTTCCTGAGCTCTTCTCTCATACGGAGCAAACCCAGCAACCTCACGGACCAGGTCACGTACAAACTTGTTGTGTTTAGTCACCTTTCCCTTGGACCTAGAGGGCCTGGGTTTTAGAGCATTCTTTGTAGTCTTGTGTCCTTTCTCCATCCCAACACACATCTCATACCGGGGCGCCATTTTTTCTGAAAAATTACATTGTTTGTTGTATTCGCTCTAGGAGTAGATCTATCCGTCCTCCCATCAAGGGTTGACCATTCTTCGTCTTTGCCTTGATAGTTTTATATCGTTTATCCTTCTTCTCTTTATATATCTTCTGTTTTGCCAACTTCTCCGCTTGTCTTCTTTGAAACTCCGCTTCTTTTTTACTCCGCTCATTCTTCTTCTGTTCAAACATCTTCTTAGCTTTGTCTAGAGAAGTAGGTTTCTTAAATCCAGGTTTAAGACCTCTACCCTGAGACGGGGATGTTTGTGTTGCGTGTCCAAGTTCAGAATTCTGGGGTCCATTATCGTTATATATTTTCTCAATATCAGGTCCAGGTCCTAGCTTCTTCTGCAACTTCTTGTATTTGTGAGTCATGAAGGTTTGTCTTTTGTTCTTCCACTCATCGACTTTCACCTTTTTGTCATATTTCCTAATTCTGTAAGCTTTCTTATCGAAAACTTTCTTTTTTTTCACTTCACCTTTTGGAATTTTCTTAGCCGGTGAATCCATTTTATCTGAAAAATGATTTCAATTCAAGCATTTTAACAATATTAAATGATCACAATATAAGACATAAGTAATAAAACAGAGGCCAAATTTAATGAATTTGAGAAGTTTTAAATTTGAGACGCGGCTCAAATATGGTTGGTTCCACTTAAAATTGTATTCTATATTTTAAGATTTAAGCCGACGCTCAATTGAAACCGGTTTTTGGCGGATTTGAGACACGGCTCAAATTCCTTAAATTCGGACTCTGGAAGTATTAACTAATTAAGATTTGGTTTAATAGTCTGAAAAATGTGCGTTAAATGCAATATTTGTTCCAATGTGAAATAAAATATGTAAAAAATAAAATAAAATAATTTTGTAGAATTACTAAAAACATTTTTGGTTAAAATTATTTACACCTCTCAAATGGATTTTTAAATCAAGAATTGTTGTTTAATGTTAATCTATGAAACTAAATATAATGTTAGATCATCAAGATTAAATTACAAAAAAACGGGAAAGCTTTAAAGAAAGCTTTTATCCGATTAATTCATAAATAATTAAAGTTTTTCATTTCTAAGGACAAGCAAACATTAATCAATCGTTGATTATGCAGGAAGGGATTGTAATGATGCTTGAAGTTTCTCCATCTTCTCCGTCACCCCCGTTAATCCGTCCGAGAGCACCTTCTGGGTTCGAACGATCTGAGATCTGTTCTCAGCGAGAAAGGACTCTGTCTTCTCCTGGTCCGTGCTTGTCTCGGAGCATCGAGAATTCCAGTTCCGTGAGCTATCATGTAGTTCCTTGAGATCCTGTAACCTCTCCAGAACCTCTGGTAGGACGGTAACAATACCTTCTCTGCTCTCCAGAGCATCATACAGTTTGGAAACCTCACTAGCAGTCCTTGCTGAGTCCACTTTATCTTTCTTATCTTTCAACGCGTTTAACTTTGTACCCAGAGAAGCAATCCGTCCTTCAATATGAGATAAATGATCAGGACGTAATAAAGGTTTCCTTTTCTCTAGTATCTCGACTGCTTCGATTACAGGTAGACTATCAGTACCAGCGGAGAGAACCTTCTGTCGTATCAATGGATCAGGTCCAACCATTTTCTCAAGCTTAGAGAGTCTTTGGTCCAATCTAGATAAAATTTCCGGAGTTATAGGTTCGGAAACCGGAAGATACAGTTCATAAGAGGCAGAGTTAGTAGCACTAGTTTCTCCGGTACTCCGAGAAATATCTTCTATTTGCCTCTTCAAGTTCTCCAACAATTCCTTTTGGTTGACTAAATTAGAGGTTGCAGCTCCATCCTGATCAACAACACAAACCTCTAGCTGCTCTTGGAGCTGTGAAACCTGCTTGTGGAGCCCAGCAAGGTTCCCTGTCTCCGACTCCGCCATACTGTTCAGATCCTCGTAGAACTCTGTCACCTCACAACGGAGCCGGGTAAACTTCTGAATCAAGGTTTCTTTCTCCTCTCCTCCAGCAATCACGAGGTCTCCTCCCAACCAGCTCAGGCTGGACAGATGAAGGGTTTCGGATTGGTCACTCTCACTTTCTTCATCCTGAAATTATTAACTCTCAACTTCTCCATTAACATATATTTTGTACAATGACTTTAAGAAAAGATGAAAGATTCAGAAACTGGGCTGCGGCAAGAACTTATATACATATACATTCCACTTTTTAACTGCTGTCTCACTTCTATTTGAAATGCAACACATTGTGGCACATTTTGTGCCCCGTTTATTTGAGGGAATGTTCAGGGACATGATTTAGGCAATATTTCTGCTCAAGTTCCCGAGGACTAAAATAATCGAGAATTCTGTCATTCAGAAAATCTTTAGAGAGGTGCGATAGTCTTTAGTTTTGTTTAAACATTGAATTCCTTAAAAATTTCCTACCCCAGTAAGATCATGATCGCTAAATGTTTCGAATGTATCCGGTTGACCCGTGGCTATCCCAGGTAGACCTGCATACTTTGGATCCCCGGCCATTCTGTCTGAAACAAGGTAATTAAACACTAGTAGCTAGGACATTTCAGCACATTCCAGGATTACGACGACACAAGATTAAAAAATTTAAAAAATACTCCATGGAGACGATTTAAAAAATTTAAAAAATGGTAATACTGGAATCATTGGCGCAACATAACAATAATTCACCAATGTCCTATTCTGGCTTTTATAACAAATATCACGATATTTAATAAATTTTCTTGACTGGATTGAAATGCACATTTTGACAAAATTTACAAGGATTAATAAAAATCCTGTTCAACAAGTTTAAATATTCTCTGTAGATAGATGAAGCTCAACAAATGAAGCTTACATACGAGATATAAACTGACTAGGCATTGTTGGCAGCTTTCTTATACTCTTCGGCTTTCTTCTGACAGGTCTCCAGCTGTCCCTTTAGGGCTGTCAGCGCTTTCCAAGCCGACTTCAGGACAGCTGCATCATTAGATCCAGACTTCTTCTCCTTTCCTTTCCTTCCACTGGAGGATTTAATACCTCCCACCCGGCCATACAGTTCAGCCTGTAGTGCCTGACGGGCAGATCCTAGCTGTGAATCTAGACTAGTTGGTATCTCAACCCTTGCATCTTCACTGGTAGTTCCAGCCTGCTTCTGTTGTAGACCCTGAGATAGTTGATTCAAAGCTCTACACAAACTATCCATTTCCTAGAAGAAGGATATCCATCAGAAACCATGGCGAGCTGTTAGAACAGTTCAAGGAGGAAATTAATTAAATGATCGAAAGTTACTAGAAAAATGGTTTTGCAGGATAATTTTAAAATCTTTAAATTTGTCCCGGCAAAGGCACCCCCTTGCTTACCTTCTGTGAGTTAGCAGTAAGAGCGGCTTCTCTTGAAACCGATCCTTCAATCCAATTCTTGACGTTCTCCGCCACCTCCAGCAGGTTCAACCTCGTCACGTTCTCTGCCTTGACCCCCAGGAGCTTCCACCCCATGGGGATATTAGGGTTCATGTCGGTCAGCTGGTTGTTAACTCTGGTCAACTCATCCCGGAGAACCTCCTCGTTATATATATCCAGGTACTGTTCAATACACCTTAAACAAACATTTTTAATAGAAAAATAATTTTTCTTGTTAACAAAAGCAATGAGGGAATTTCTTTTTACGCTTTTTTTTATCAAGCTCTTAAAAGAGTATTTACCGAAAGCTTTACTTTTATTAACACAGTTTAAACCTAATGATTTAGTTTTAAATTAGTGAAGTTTTTTTGCACTACGCATAAAACATCATGGGGGGGGGGGGATTATGGCTGAAGAGGGAAAATGAGTTTTTACACGAAATCTTATATTAAAATCAAACTAGATTTTGAATCTTGGTTCATGTGATATTTTTCACAGTAGTTAAAGTTCGTCCTTACAAGATTCATTTCTGGCCAATTTACAAAATTCTCTTTTTTCTAAGCCACAGAATGCGGGAACATTTTTTTATTTACGGAAAGAAGTATTGAAAACTAAGTACTTATATTGGACAGAAATTAATATAGAGATATCGTTCTTACTTGTTTAAATCTGAGTTAGTTGAATTGGTTCTATTCTCTTCTCCGTCCTTGTTCTCTGCAACCCGTCTAGCCGCAGCATCCACAGCTTCTACTCCTGCTAGGTATTTATCCGTTACAACCGAACACTCTTCTATCACCTGGATAGTAAAAATACTTCACATTTAGAGATGATTAAAAATTTTACGACTTGTGAATTTAAAACACTAGGAAATGTGACAAAATTAAAACGAATTATTTTACTTTTCATGAATTTTGAATCGAGTTTAATAACATCATGATTTAAAAGTCTAATTTTAACATGTAAATAAGTAGCTTAAATAAAAGCAGAAAAAGCAAATTAAAAATTCCGTCTACTATCCTATGTATTTACTTAATGTATGACATTTAGAATAAATATAAAAACAAACAGGGAACGTGTTCTTTACGTCAGGTAGTTTCGTAGAATCGTCTAAATTTGGACAGACCATTTCAATTAATAAGATGATTTTCAATGTTCTAGATTCTAACTAACGGGTTTTTTTTTATCATTTCAATAACATAAATGTTTAAAACCTTACCTCAGCTACACCTACTAGACAGGAGAGAATATTAGACCCTTTATTCTCCTGCTCCTGAACCTTATCCCTGGACACTGCAACCTTATCCATCAGCTTGACGATCTCCCTGATCCCAACGTCCAGGTTGGTCGTCTTCTTCAACTCACTAATCACCTTCTTATCCTCGTTTATTTTCTTCTCTAGCTTCTTAACAACCAGTGAACTATCCCGTCCTGCTGGTCCTTCGGAAGGACGTGACAGTACTCCAGCTCCGTTCTGAACTCCTCTGTTTAGACCGTTAAACAATACATCTCCCTGGTAGGATGAATAGTCGAGATCTACGCTATCAACGTTCCCTTGCCCGCCATTAACCTGGAACTGGTTTTGAACTTGTTTCTGTGCAAAACGATTCTGAATTGGATTAAAATATGGTTTCTTCTCCTGGGGGTAAACTCCGTTGCTGTTTGGTGCCGACTTTCCCTTGTACTGTGGAACAACCAAGGCGGGTAGAAATATCACGTGACCCATTTTAAGTGCAGCTTTATTCAGATTAATATCTCCAACCATACAGTCCGCCATAATACCTCCGGCGTACTTGACCTGCTTATAGCAGCTGCAGATTACAACCCTGTCGTTGATTGTTTTCTTCAACCACTCTCCGCCACGCTGCCGATCCTCCGCCGAGTATCCTTCAAACTTTCCGCGTGGTTTTAAATCCGCCATCTTGTATTTCTCACAGAGAACTTTTACATCTTTAAGAGCGTCTGGGTACTCCACCAGGTCTTCAACCTTGAACAGATTGTTCCACCCGAAGTCGATTGCACGAACTCTGATGAGATCCTTGCTCCGGCCTTGTCCCAGTTGCTCCACCCTTCCTCGGAACCAGGTCTGCTGGAACCCAGAGTAAGCGCAAACCATCTAAAGGTTTAAATAAGGATAATTCTACACACTTCAATAAAAATAATTTTCTTTTCTTTTAAACTTTTCGTTCGTTTCTAGTAAAATTAAAAGAATTAAAATAGTGACATGAAAATTGGTCAATTTTACACCATTATATTTTTATATATTTCTGACTCAAATCTTCTTTCACATTAGAAATCAATGGTTAAAATTGAAAATAAAGCCAATATTGACTTTCAATATTTAAACATTGAGAAAAAAAGACTCCAGAAAAAGAAGATATTTATTACAAAAGTATAAAGTTTGACGAATAGAGATAATGTTTGCTCCAAAACGATAAAGTTTGACCAATAGAGATAATGTTTGCTCCAAAAGTATAAAGTTTGACTAATAGAGATGTTTGCTCCAAAAGTATAAAGTTTGACGAATAGAGATAATGTTTGCTCCAAAAGTATAAAGTTTGACCAATATAGATAATGATTGCTCCAAAAGTATAAAGTTTGACTAATAGAGATAATGTTTGCTCCAAAAGTATAAAGTTTGACCAATAGAAATAATGTTTGCTCCAAAAGTATAAAGTTTGACTAATAGAGATAATGTTTTCCCCAAAAGTAAAAAGTTTGACGAATAGAGATGATGTTTGCTCCAAAAGTACAAAGTTTGACCAATAGAGATGATGTTTGCTCCAATAGTATAAAGTTTGACCAATAGAGATAATGTTTGCTCCAAAAGTATAAAGTTTGACTAATACAGATAATGTTTGCTCAAAAAGTATGAAGTTTGACGGATAGAGATGATGTTTGCTCCAAAAGTATAAAGTTTGACCAATAGAGATGATGTTTGCTCCAAAAGTATAAAGTTTGACAAATAGAGATAATGTTTGCTCCAAAAGTATAAAGTTTGACCAATAGAGATAATGATTGCTCTAAAAACCAACCTGTTCTGTTTCAGGTATCTCAGTAAGACGAGGTAAACCTTCACACAGCTTCTTACAATCCTGTTCTATTGTTTTCATAAACTCCTTCTCCGACTCCAGGTAGGCGTAGAAGGACGCAGCGTTCTCCACATAGCTGACTACCAGGCGTCTCGTCCCTAGATCTATCTTACCGTTTACCTCTACACCTTCGTCCGACATCTTCTCTGAAAACAAGATTTAATTTTAGTTTTTTTTCAGGAATATTTCTCTCAACTCTATTAATGTACTATTTAATCTAGTTTCTTTTGTTTTTTCTTCATAGCAATTGCTTCAGATTTGGTCATATCCAGCTCTTTATCCCAACTAAACAAAAATAAATAAATAAATAAATTGATCAGTCAATCAATCCATCAACCAATCCATCAACCAATCAATCAATCAAAAACGCAAATATCAATTAATAAATAAAAAAATGAGTTAGTAAAACACTAAGTCAAATCAAAAGTTGAAAATAAATAAATAATGCAGTTAAAAAATTGAAAAATCAGCTTGTAAAACAACTAGATAAATAAATATAATGAAAAATAAGTTTATAAAACAAAAAGAAAATTAAATAAATTTTAAAATCTGTAGATAAAAAAAATAAAAGTTGAAAATAAATGAATAAAGTAGTTTATAAATTGAAATATCAATTTATAAAAGAAATAAATAAATCCGTTAATGAATTGAAAAATCTGTTAATAAAACAATCAATCAAATAAGTTGAAATAAATAAGTCAGTTAAAAAATTGAAAAATCAGCTTGTAAAACAACTAGATAAATAAATAAAATGAAAAATAAGTTTATAAAACAAAAAGAAAATTAAATAAATTTTAAAATCTGTAGATAAAAAAAATAAAAGTTGAAAATAAATGAATAAAGTAGTTTATAAATTGAAATATCAATTTATAAAAGAAATAAATAAATCCGTTAATGAATTGAAAAATCTGTTAATAAAACAATCAATCAAATAAGTTGAAATAAATAAGTCAGTTAAAAAATTGAAAAATCAGTTGATAAAACAAAAGTAAATCAACCCGCCAACCAAACAATGAATTAAATGTTGAACATTGATAAAATATAAAATCACGAGAACTTACTGTAAATCTAAAGGTTTGTCGTAGCCCATAATTTTCCCGTAATGGGAAACATCGTAGAATTGACTCATATCCACAAACAGAGGAACATTTCTAGCCTGGTAACCCAGGGATCACGTTTATTTCATTACATTTATAAAGTATTACGAACCTTTGAGAGTAAACTTCATGTTTTTACCTTATTCTAAAATACTTTTAACTTTTCATAAGGGGAAAACTGATTTAGGGGAGGGGGGGGGGTTGTCAAGATAATGTTGACACGTACCCTCCGTATTTAAAGATTCTGATAATATTTATTAAAAGATTAGATTGCACATGAGATTATTTTTATCAAATTTGACGGATAAGAATATTGAAGCAGCATTAACTAATAGACAAGAGTGAGTATAGATAAAAACAAAACATATAATGGTAATATTTAAAATGCTGGTTTATATATTTGTGTTTAATTCATTAAATATGCAGAATTTTAACGAATGAGAACGGGAAAAAAAACCTTAAACATTTTTTTAACCATTCTGAATATTCTGGGAGAAACATTTTTAAAAGCGGGAATGATTTTCAGACAATTCCCCTGTAAGTTTAGTTTTTAGTGAACCTCCATGCAAAGATGGGAATTGACGGATTTACAAAGGTACCCTTTAAAGCTTTGACTGATCAAGTATGAATTAAAATTTTTTTTTTATTTTTTTAACGTTAATTTGCAAATAAAGTTTCCCTCCATAAGTGACTTGCGCATTTCTTGATTATAAGGAACAAAGGAGATATTATCAAAATAAAACATGTTTAGAGTGAAAACTAACGACGTCATCGTTCACATTTTCGATAAAATTAAAGTTTTAAGGTACCGACGTGAACAGGGCATTGATTTATTTGAACTGAAAGTCATTTAAAAGCACGTTTACAGTCCTTTTAATTCCTGTTTAATTTACACGTGATGAGCCCTTGCCTTGAAGGTTGTAAACATCCCAGGTATCTCTGGAACATTTACATCACTTGTTCTAAACTCAATCTTCTTCGGCCGAACAAACACATTGTAAACATACGCTGTGTACTTATCCTCAACCTGCAGTACACAATACCAATGAAGTTGGGTCACAATTAGTTCTGGATCGTTTAAAGAAAAAATTAATAAAACTTCCACGATTTCAAAACTAACTTTGCATCATTCTTATCCTTGAAGAAATGGAAAAACTATCCCAAAACGATCACGTTCGTTTTTGCATCGTTTTTTGGTCGTTTTTAGGATATATCTTCTGTCAAAGTCAAAATCCCACAATTGACTATATATCCCCAGGAGAAAGCCAATCAGCATGAAAAACTTCCAGTACGTCATGAAAATCTACAAATATCATGAAAATCCCAAAAAAAGGAAATAACTTGACCCACCTGATTATAATAGAGCTTTGTAACGTACTTCTTGCTGATGGAATGGATGAGGAGCGGGGTGGCGAAGGTAAAGAATGAAAGGAAGGCTCCGGATGCCAGGACGACCGCCAAGTTCCCGGTTGAAGAGTAGGTATACAGAATAGGTTGACAAGCTAACCCTACATAAGAGAGTATTTTTAGAGATCAAAAATCTACCAAAACTAATAATTCATGTGTTCTCTCAGTTGGAAATTAATGAATAAGAGCAATAAGCTCGTTTTCCCACCCGGCCATGTTACCCTGGACGCGATGGATTTAACTCCTAGAGTTGACCATAGCTACAGTTTCTTTAAGAAGTTGATTTCGTTTCAAATTAAATTAAATTCCTTCATTTCTATCTCTCTGTATAAAACAAATTTAGAGTCATTGCAAACTTTCAAGATGCTGGGTCGAATAAAAACGGCACTAAAGGAGTTGAAGTGTGTCCTTTTCCTTAAAAACCGAAAAAGATAAAAAGGGGGGGGGGGTTGATATATAACACTTACCGATCATACTTGTTCCAAGAGAAAAGGATTTCACCAATTTGATCTGGGTACTAAGAATACCACTGTAGATCTCTTGCTCTTCCTGTCCAGACAGATTGTGACAGAACCTGGATAGTGCTCCGACTAAAGGATGAGGTAGAGAAGCATCCTTGGCCAGAACTGTGTTGACCGGCAAGGTTTGAGAGCATGGTACAGGTCGGCAGGACTGGTGACACACCCGCAGAACTCGGGTCAATCTCAGACGAGATGTAAGAGTCGCCATACTTCTGAAAACTGGAAGTCTAGTTAGGAGTAAACACGGACTCGCACGAACACTTCTATAGAAAACGGGAGAGGGTTCAAATATTCTTCATTACATAACCATCACACATTTTGCCTGCCTTTGCACCAAGAAAGATTTATAAAACCCGGTCTTGAACGGATCCCCGAAATATAACCCCCCGGAACTAGCAACAAACTTCCGACGGTCAGAAGAGATTATCGCGGACACCAACAGTGTACAAATCCTTGAAATACGCTTTCCAATAAGAATAAATTATTAACCCCGGATCTGTCTCCCAGAGACCGATATTTGCCCCCCCCCCCTCCCCCTCATTCCAATTTTGTACATCATGACAGACCTAGAATTTCAACAATTTTCCACAAAGTTAGTATGTATATTGGGTTAGGTTGAGAACATTTTAAGACCAAGCGCTGCGGCTTGGAAGGGCTAGGGGGCCGAGCGCTACGATTAGGAAAGGCTAGGGGAGAGAGCACCGCAGCAAGGGGGCCGGGCACTGCGGCCACATGAGCAACTGTATCCAAGTGTTCAATATGAGTTACAAAATAGATTGGAAGGGGGGAGCAGGGGGACTAAACTCGTTTTCTCGGAAATTACCCCCCCCCCCCCCCCCTCCTTGACGTGTAGCCGGAGATTGTATTAGATCGGCAGACGGTTTGTGAACTTGAACGAACGCTACAGAATTTGAAAGTTTCAGATAACTTGTAATAGATTTATTCTAATAATTAAAATTCAAGCTCACACGGTGAACCTGAACTCTCAAAATTCGAACAAGGGCTTAAAAAACGCTCGAATTTAGTTTTAAGTTAAAATAGAGTTGTATTATGAACCTTCTAGTTTCTACCACCCACGACTTGCACCTTGCGAGTTACTAAACAGCTGATCAAAGTTATCTCATACAACGGCTGAGGTTCTATTATTTCCAACTTTCAGTTCAACATTTTCTTTAAAGACAAAATAAATTCTTAGGATCGAATAAAATAAGATCAGTTAAGAGGCCGAAACAGCCTGATGTGCCTGATTCAGCTGGGATTCCGACGACCGGAAATAAGATATTGGTATGCAATATTCTTTCAGGCCCTGAACCAATAGTTTTCATCTTCTGAACTCTCTGTATACCTTTACAAGACAAGTTTTCATGAACCTTCACAAGACAAGTTTTCAACTTCTGAACCTTTACAAGACAAGTTTTCATGAACCTTTACTAGACAAGTTTTCATGAACCTTTACAAGAAAAGTTTTCATGAACCTTTACAAGACAAGTTTTCAACTTCTAACCTTTACAAGACAAGTTTTCATGAACCTTTACAAGACAAGTTTTCAACTTCTAACCTTTACAAGACAAGTTTTCATCTTCTGAACCTTTACAAGACAAGTTTTCATCTTCTGAACTTTACAAGACAAGTTTTCATGAACCTTTACGAGACAAGTTTTCATCTTTTGAACCTTTACAAGACAAGTTTTCAACTTCTGAACCTTTACAAGACAAGTTTTCATCTTCTAACCTTTAAAAGACAAGTTTTCATGAACCTTTACAAGACAAGTTTTAAACTTCTGAACCTTTACAAGACAAGTTTTCAACTTCTGAACCTTTACAAGACAAGTTTTCATCTTCTGAAGGCTATATTAAGTGCAGGGGAGCAGGGGGAAGGCAGGCGGTCATGAGCCACCACTATTTCCCCTTCCGTACCATATATATTAGCTTTTTTTCTCTTCCGGCAGCCCTGAGCCACCACTATTTTCCCTTCCGGACCACCACATTTGACTCTTCCGGGCAAAACTACTTTTTTTAAATGGTATATTTGGGGCCTTTACAGTGTGATTTTCAAAAATCCAGCCCCGTCACGCAAAAAAAAATATATGGCCGCCTGCCTCCCCCCCCCCCCCCCACGCTCCTTAACCTGGTGCATAAAGAGTTCTCATCTCCTGAACCTGGTACATGAATAGTTATCATCTTTCTAACCTTGTACATGAAGAGTTCTTATGTTCCTATCTTATCCTTGTACATACATGAAGAGTTTTCATCTTCTTGTACATGGATATTGGAGAATGTTATCTTCTTAACCTTGTAAATTAAGAGTTCTCATCTTATTAACATTGTACATTAAGAGTTCTCATCTTATTAACATTGTACATGAAGAGTTCTCATCTTATTAATTCATTGTACATGAAGAGTTCTCATCTTCTTAACCTTGTATACATGAAGAGTTCTCATACTCTTAACCTTGTAGATGGAAAGTTCTCATACTCTTAATCTTGTACATGATTGATGAGTATCTCCTGTACCGATATGTACATTTTTTTCTGAAAGTTCTAATCAATTTTTTATCGAGAGTTGTTATCTATGAAACCTAGTCTACTAAGAGTTCTCATCTGCTGAAGCTTGTTTTCTGAGAGTTTTCATCAATTATTTATTGAGAGTTTTATCTATCCCTAGTCTACTGAGAGTTCTCATCTATGAAACCTAGTTTATGAATTCTCATGTATTAGTTTTGAACCTATTTTAATTAGAGTTTTCATCTTTTGGACCTGGTTTGCTGAGAGTTCTCATTTATTGAAAAAAAATTTATTGTGAGTTTTCATCTTTTTAACTTGGGTTATACTGATATTTCTCATCTATTGAACGAATTCAACCTAGTTTACTGACAGTCCTTATAAATTAAAACTACTTTACTGAATGAAACTCAAAGTTCTCATCTGTTGAACCTGGTTTACTTAGAAAATTATTCACATCAAAACGAAATTTGGCTCATCAGTAATTTTTTTTTTTTTTTAACACCGAGTATGAAGCGAACTTAAATATAAGGAAATCTTGGCTTGGTATAGTATATTTGGATAGTTTTTATAAAAATATCAAATAGGTCGTCTTCCCTCTCCTTCCTGAGGAAACGGATTCTCTAGTATATGCTGATCTCCTTCATTGTACCCTTCTCCCTCCTAGAGAATTCAATGTAGGTCGGGAAAAGATCAAAGTGTTTACAAAATTTTAAAATTTGTCTTTTAGTTTTCGAAGAATTAACCTGATACGAGGGGCCAAACATTTTAGAAAGAATATCAGCTGAACAAAACATGGATTTCATTTTATCTTTAGATCTTAGCATCTCTTCTCTTCGCTCTGTCTCCTGAAATTATATAAGAGGATGTACTTAATTTTAAATCTTGCATGATTTAAGTTTTAACCTAAACCTATACGTTATACCTCTTTACATTTTAAGGATAACTATAATAGAGGGATCAAGCATTGATTCACAAATTCAAAAGTCTCTACATTGGATATCGAGATCAAGTGCTTAAGATTAACGATATTCAATCAACACAAAATTTTCAAATTCTGTTCAGAACAATTTTGAGGTAAAATCATGGGATTTCAGAGGAAAACAAAGATATATATATACTATAGATTTTTTAATGGGGGCAAATATATATATGTATATATATATATATATATTATATTATATTATATTATATATATATACATATATAATACCATGCTAACCTTTCTCCACTCCTCCTCCCCAGTGTCCAGATCAATGTTCTCCGTTCTTAGGTATTCTCTAAACTCATCTATTTACGTTGGATTATATCAAATAGATTGTCAATCTTTTTGGATTATATAAGAATGCAATTTCATTCCAGTTTGTGTATTGTGATTGATGTAGAACTATTGGACAATTGGTGAGAACAAGAACATTAATTATTTCTGAAACTAATTGTTCAAATCTATATCAATGAATCCATGCTTGTGCCTAAAATATGAAATATAAGTAAACAATATCAAAGTTGCAAGGAATATGTCAATATACTTCATGTAAACTTAGGTTTTCGTGATAAATCAATTCATTTTCTATTTTAATCCTTCCTATTTGCATCCTAGAGTTTGCTCTCCAACTATCAATATACCTGATAAAGAAAAACAAGTATAAGAACAGATTATGAAATAATAAAACTCTAATAAACGCAGGGCGTCTCAATAAACATTATAATTGAGAGACGACATAAAGATCGTCTTTGACCTTTAAAAGGGATCTATCAACAAAGTGTCACTATTTTCCTTTAAATCTTTAAAGATTACAAATATATTAGAGGCTTGGATAGTTTTGGTTTTATTTCAGAAATAGAAATCTTAACGAATTAATTCTTGATTTCTCTTGTAATATTTAAAGTGCACAGAATAGGGAGACAAAATTTCCAGGAAATGCCAAGACTATGGGTATTTTATGATAACTGTCATTAAAAAGCTTTCTATAATCAAAAATAAATTTTTTTTTTGTCTCTTAATTATCATGTTTAATGAGACATCCTGTAGTACAGGGTGTCCCAATAAACATGGAAATTTAGTGACGAATTCGATATCGTCTTTTTAAATAGATAAAAAAAATAAAAGTTGAAAATAAATGAATTTCTGCGATCAGCTCATGCATTGATAAATCTATAAAAAATTGTTAGATTAGCAGAAAAAATCGCTGCTTTCATGTTAAAATTTTGAAAAATGTTGTTTTTATTTACAAAAACCTGTGATCATGTTCTCCGAGTCAATCTCAATCATCTCAATATTCAAGGACTTTCTAAATAAAAGAAAATTAAAGTAAAGATTATTGAAAAAGATTAGAAACATTTTATTTTGTTTAAAAAAATAATAACAATTTGGTACAGTTGGTTATAAGATATTAAAAAGTTTATTGACAAATTGTAAACCATTTTTTTAACATTCGTGAGTAATTATTATTTAAAAAAGTGCTAAAAAGCAGACTACTTTTTGGATATTCCACATCTAACCGACTAGGATTTATAATAAGGAATTGAGTCTTTGCCAAAAACTCGAATTTTCTAGTTCCGATATCTTTGCAACAAAATGTTTTACACCTTAGATACTTCAAACTATGAATTCTGTTAGATCAAATAATCTAAGTTCCAGAAATATTAAAAGGTTTACACCATCATATTGAAACGATGTAGGGATTAGACAATTTGAGTTCGTGGCATAGACTCAATTCCTTTATGCTGTAATAGCTAATCTAACAAATTCCTATTTTAACTTGGACTACTTAAGTGTTATTTTGTACTTAAGAATGAGGTTGATGTGGAATAGATTCATTTCTCCGACTACAGTGAACACCTTGAGCTCCAGGAGCAGGTTCATTCGCATACTCACCAGTTCCATCTCATCAAACCTAGACAAATCAATTATTGGAGAAGGGTTTTGAGATATATTTGATGTCACACATTTAGTAATTGTAAATTGGCAGTACAGTCGAAACTAGGACCGCAATGGTTGGCCCAGCTCGGATATTCAAATGTACACTGATTGTGCGGGATATGTGGATGACGGTCATAAAAACCAGATATTTATATAATTAACACTTAAACAGTAGATTTACTTGATTCACTTTTCATTCATTGAGATCAGTCAGATAAACCTAACAGCTCAATTTAATAAGAATGTAGCTTCCGTTCTATCAGGACTAACAGCCCAAGATTTATGGAGATAATATTTAGTTTAGATACTTAATTAATTTAAATTCTCTACAAAGGTGTAAAAACCTCAAAACAAGCCAAATAAGACATTTTTCAACTGTAGTCTACAGTTAAATGTAAAGTCAGGGGTTTGAAATGCTCCACTAAACTCCCGGCCCCTATCCTCGTACTATGCTGGGATTAGCTCCGTCTCATCATTAACTATAATTTGATATTTCATAAAAAGTACAAAAATGTATTTTTCGCATTATCCGCTTAGCTTGTTCTGTGACTGGGATTTTTATCTTTCTAGTTTGAGTGATAATCCTACCCTAATTCCTACCCTAATTCCTCAGGTTCAAATGAGCAGTTCTCGAATTTAATGTCCTTCAGGTTTGAACAATTCTTGAAGATATGCAGGACGGATTCAGAGGATAATTTCTCCACGTGGCAAAAATGCAAAACCATTAGGTTGGGTCCAATTATCTCCAGTAGGTGAGAAAGCTGGTTACTGAAACAAAGTTAGAGATTTACAACATTACAAATATGCGATTCATGCAAATTATCCGATCCCGAAATTGATATGTTACGAACCATCGGACACCAAACCGAAACATTCAGAGGTATGGAACATTGTAAGAATCATAATAAATGTTGCATTTT